TCTCATGATTCACTATTGAGCTAGCATTCTTGTTCATCAAGACCAGTATGATAGCCTTCTCCATACAGGGAATGACAGACTCGCCCGACCAAATGAAAGATTATTGTTAATTTGAAGACCATGAGACGTAAATGAGATCAACATGGACTCAATCAGATCTTGGACCTTGTTTTTGAATTGTTTGCAATCTTCAGTTGAATTCCTCATGGCGCCAACATGGTATTCGCATCGTGCATTGGCGTCAAAGCCTGGTGGGTATGGAGGAATGACAAGATCCAAGTCCTTTGGCACTATCAGTCCACTACTGATCCAACGTGGCAACATGTGACTGTACGACATTGGTAATGTATCAAAGTGTCTTTTTGGTCTTTGATTATATTAACATCGTTGTTGCAGAGCATACTGCTGTGTGATCTGGTGTTGATGAGGAAGACCTCTATTGACAAAAAGGCATTGATCATGTGAAGAGAATGGAATCACAGAAGGAGACCTATAGGATGGCTGACTTTGAACAATTGAGATGCTTGGGTACTAAGGATAAGGTACCGAGGATAGAGCTTGTGGAGTGTCCCATATTGCATTAATTTCATCATCATATCCCCCTTGGGAGCTGACAACTGATTCACTTTCACTAGCTGAGATGCTCGAGGCGTCTTGGACCTTTCCATTCTTGAGATGACTCTCAATGCGTTCTCCTACTAAAACCAAGTCAAAGAAGTTGGATGTCCCATTGGACATCACCTTTTCCAAATATGGGACTTGCAAAGAAGCGATGAATATGTCAACCAATTCTCTGTCTAAGAGCAATGGTTGAACATGATCGGCTACCTCTCTCCATCTCTGAGCATACCCTCTGAAAGACTCGTTTTCCTCTTGAGACAAGCCTTGCAACTGTATGCGGTTGGGAGCCACATCAAGATTATATTGGTATTGTTTCACAAAGGTGTTGGCTAAGTCCGACCACGACTAGATATGGTTATTTTCTAGCTGCATGTACCAACTCAGCGATGCCCCACTCAGACTGTCTTGGAAACAATGAATCATAAGTTTATCGTTGTGAACATAGGAGGTCATCTTTCTACAAAACATCACCAAATGTTGCTTTAGACATCTATCTCCTTTGTACTTCTCAAAACTCGGCGTATTGAACTTTGAAGGTATTACATGTCCGGGTACTAAACACATGTTCAAAGCATTCAGATCAAAAGTATCACGCCCTTTCATGGCTTTAAGCTTCTATTCCAACACAAGACATCTTTTAGCAAACTCAACATCTTGAGGTTGTTCAATATTCCCCACCAGGCTTGTCCCTTGGGAATTCAACACAGTGAATGCAAAGCTATGGTACTCAATAACATCATGAGATGAGGTATGTTTATCTCGAACAGTGTGATGTTCTTGTATAACCTGATTCTCAACAAGGATTTGAAAAGGTTGAGATTGAGCCAGATTGTTCACTTGAGATGGAATGACGTTCTCAGTGACTATAGGCCATTGAAGGTTGTTCTCTCTTCTTGCCAAGGCTAACATAGCTTCCACGAGTTGGTCCAACTGGTTCCTCATCAAGTCAACATCTGCTCTTGATGCGAATTGATTCTGCTCTTCTGAGTTCATGATTCTTCCAAAAGTTGCTTCAAGTCCGATACGGGTGTCGAGAAATCAATTGCGGATTATGAACAAAGGATGGATGAGTTTTGGTTTTGGAAGATGATATGCAATGCTGATGAATGCAAATGCAATAGTATGCAGGCATAATCAGGATCCAGAATAACATAAGTAACTCCAAGCACCCTAACAAGTAGGTTTTAAGGATAGTTCTAGATTCTTTACCCAAAAAAGCCCACTCACAGGATAACTTATATGTTGATGGATAAGGTTCCCAGGATCAAGGACACCAATCGCATCAAAATCATGTAACATGCTAGCTATATTATGACGAGAGTACGAAAAGGTCTCTCTTGAGCGGAGTCCTCATGCTAGCTCCGCGAGGAGCAAACCCTCGGAAACTAACACTACACGACCACCAATATAGAAACTGGTTCTAAGAGTAGTTCATGGAGTCACATACCCTTCATGAATCGAGTCATGCGACAGGCTAGCTGCTTTACAACAGGATCTACGAAAAGGTCTCGTCTAGGGGAAGTTTTCATGTTAGGCGCACAAGGAGTGAGTCCTTGGGGACTAACATTAATTACTTCCAAAATATAAACTATGTGTTCCCTCTTCTTTTTCCAAGACTCGGGTACAAAGCCTTACTTGTGATATCATCCCAGAATCCAACAAACAAATATGATAAACAACACAAAATAAGAGAAAACAATAAAGTATATAAATAGGAAATAGAAGAAGACAAAATAAAGAAAAGAACCAAGCTAAGTTAACACTCTCGAATCGAGTTAAGTTAGGTTTGACTCTCTCTAGCATAGAGCAATGCATTTCCCAGCAGAATCGCCATCTGTTGTACCTCGAAAAATACGATCCTCGCGATGGATGCAGAAAAAATGTTCGAACAGAGTCGCCACCGAACTTTATTCATTCCAAGGAAGGAATAAGAAAATATCGACAAAACCTTTAAAAGATAAGAACATGATCATCGCAACCAAATTCTAGGTTCGAGAGTCGATTACGCAAGAGGGAAGGTATTAGCACCCTTTACGTCCGTTGTACTCAACGGGAACCTCTTGATTCGATTCGAGAGATAAAAGTTAGCTAGGTTGTTTATTTTCTGTATTTTAAGTGAACAAGTGTTTAGGTCGCATTTTAACTGCTAAACATTGGTTTTTCTGCTCGCTAGGGGAGACTAAAGCACGAGTTTATATGCGCGGAAGAAGGGACCAAACAATGTTCTTTGCAAAAGATGTTTGAGTTGTGAATCACACAGGGGAAATGGGTAGTAGCTTTGTGCCACGGTGGATGTCGATTTAAGAGTGAAAACAAAGCAGATGGATCAATGGAGATGGTGCGGTGTTTAATGGTTTCACTATGGAGTTTTGTGGCTGCAAATGGTTGCAGTCATTGGCAGCGAGCAAAGGCAGTTTCTGTTATTCACAATAAGGTGTTTGAAGTGTGAATCACTGGTGTTTTGTAGTTGCAAAAGTTTACAGGTCTGAAGGTGAGGGTAAGATGACTCAAAAAATGGAGGAAGTCACATGTTGGTGTTGAAGGTGGAGGTTTTATGGTTGATGAAGGTCGCGTGGCAAGGAAAAGTTTGATATGTTGTTATTGCAGCATGAAGAGGTTTGTATCTTCTATGGTGGTCGGGTTATCAAAAATGGAAGAAGAGGATCATCAAACTATGTAGAGAACTTTCTTCTCCTCTTTTTAATATCATTTTGTTGGTGGTCTCAGTTTTTTCTTATGAACTCATGAAAAGAGAGTGAGGGGTGTTGGCTTTATGTATGAGGGAGAGATAGAGTGCATGAGAAAAAGTGAGAATGCATATACTGAGAAAAAGGAAACAAAAAAAAGAGATTTTTTTATTCAATTTTGGAGAGAGAGAGAGAGAGAGAGAGAGAGAGCGCTTATTTGTGGAAAGTGGAAGGTATATTCCTTTTTTTTATGCCGAGAGACATTAGAGGAGGGAACATTATTATATGGTGGATGATAATATCATAGAGAGAGTGAGGTGTCCTTTTTTATTGAGTGGAAATGTATATTGGTGGGTGGTAGTGGTAGCATCCGTATTCTATACCTTTTGAGGAAAATAATTTTTTTCTTATAACATTTTAATCCACCTTTTCCTTCTATTCTCCTTACAGCTATATAAAGTTGCCGGAGTGGTCGCGTGGACTTTTGGGAGAAGTGAAAATTCTCTTCTCTTCATGTGCTAGTTGTCAAGCATGAAAAGAGAGACATTTTGGAGGATCTAAGGCTCTTATTATCCTTTTTGTTATCATTTTGAATGTATTAAAAATGAACTAAAGACTAATCATTGAAAATCAAAATTAATCTAAATATCAAAGCAAACTAATTATTTTAAAATGAAACGATTATGAAATAAAAGTCGAGTATCGAAATGCTCGAAAATGAAAAATGACTGCACTAAAATTATCAGCGCGGAATAAACCACTTGAAAAATTACAGCGTTTTGTCCGATTTTGAAATTAGTCGGGACTAGTAAAAATGATTAGACTAATCAAAATGTGACTGGAAATTCGTCGAAAAATAATACGAGCGCGTCAGGTTAAACTATGTGAAACGTAAATCAGGATAATTGACATCTGCAAGCCTAATTTTGCAACTTTCCGTCCACTGATTTTTGCACATTTGAGAAATAATTTAATCGGACTGTATGTATATCCATAAATTCATTCTGTTTGACCTTTTAGACATTATTCATGGGAAAAGACATGTTAGGTTATACGTATGATGCAAACTGAAAATAAATTAGAATAAATGAAAATCTACAAAGGGTAGGAAAAATTTGAAAAAGGTAGGACAATTTTGGGGTATGACAATGTGGAAGAAGAAAACACAATAATGAGGGGATTGATCATACAAGTTTAAAGTATAGCAGAAACTTTCAGAGCTGTATCTACGGAACAATCTGACGCTTAGACGTTCCGGAGGTGTATCTACGAAAATTTCCCTGAACTGAACTATTTTAAAGTTTTTTCCAGCGTTTACCAGTTTAAAATTATTCCATAGATATAGCTTCGAAAAAAACTAAATTTTGACAAAAAAAAAAGTGCATCTAAATACGTATCTCCGAAAATAAGGGATGTAAAAAGAAATGCAATAGATACCTAAGAATATTAAGAGGCGAATTAAAAAATTCTCTAATTCCCATGAGTAGTGTGGCCCAATAACTTTTTTGTTTTTGTTAAGTTTGTCCATCAAGGCCAGCCCAAATCAAAGAGTGAAAAAACAGCACCACCGCACTAGTGTACTGTGTATTGTCTTCCCTTCCCTCCCCCTCACAATTCCAACAAGGAGGGGTTTAAGAAAACCACCACCAACAACAGAAAGTGAATGAATGAACAAATGAATGAAGCCGTGATATGTATCACAGTGTCGGTGCACGCCGCCTACTATACCGTTCTCAAATATCTTACTACGTTAAAGCTGGTCTCATTGACACCGCAATCCAACTGTTCGACCAAATGTCTCAATCAAATTGTCGTCCTTTCAGCATCGACTACAATCGTTTCATCGGCGTTCTCATTCGTCACTCTCACCTCGACCTCGCTCAAAGCTACTATCACCGCCACGTCATCCCTAATGGTTTCTCACTAACCCCTTTCACTTACTCTCGCTTCATCTCCGCTCTCTGTTCCGTCAAAAACTTCTCCCTCATTCACTCTCTCCTCCGTGATATGGATGCTCTCGGCTATGTTCCTGATATTTGGGCTTTTAATATTTACCTCAACATTCTCTGCCGCGAGAATCAGTTAGAAATTGCTCTTCAGTTTTTTAGCAACATGTCTTTGAAGGGAAGAGAGCCTGATGTTGTTTCGTATACCATTATCGTCCACGCATTGTGTAAAGCTAAAAGGTTTGATGAGGTTGCTCGTGTTTGGCGTGGTTTGATTGAGAGTGGGTTGAAGCCTGATTTGAAGGCATGTGGTGCACTTGTTGTTGGTTTGTGTAGTGTTGGTAATGTTGATTTAGCGTATGAGCTTGTTGTTGGTGTGATCAGTGGTGGTGTTAAGGTTAATTCTTTGGTTTATAATGCTTTGATTAGTGGGTTTTGTAGGATGGGTAGGATTGATAAGGCTTTGGCGATTAAAGGGTTTATGAGTAGGAATGGGTGTGTGCCGGATTTGGTTACTTATAATATTTTGTTGAATTATTGTTGTGATGAGGTTATGCTTGATGAGGCGGTGAGGTTGGTGGAGACTATGGAGAGGAGTGGTGTGGGGCCTGATGTGTATAGTTATAATGAGTTGCTTAAGGGTTTTTGTAAGGCTAATCAGTTGGATAGGGCTTATTTGACTATGGTCAAGAGGATGCAGAGTAATGGGGTATGCGATGTTGTTTCTTATAATACTATTATTGGGGCTTTTTGTAAGGCACGGCGGACTGAGAGAGCTTACGAGCTGTTTGAGGAAATGCGTAGGAAAGGGATTCAACCAGACGCGATAACATTCACGGTGCTTATAGAAGCGTTTTTAAGGGAAGGTGGTTTCAATGTTGCTAAAAAGCTTCTTGATCGAATGACGGAAATGGGGAATGTTCCTGACGTCATTTTCTATACCACAATATTTGATCATCTGTGCAAGTCCGGGAATATTGATAGGGCTTTTGTTGTTTTTTGTGATATGGTGGAGAATGGAGTAAGTCCAGATGTGGTTTCTTACAATGCACTCATAAATGGGTTTTGCAAGTCTTCTAGAGTTATGGACGCCATGCGGCTATATGAAGAAATGCAGGTTAAAGGATTATGCCCAGATGAGGTCACTTTCAAGTTGGTAGTTGGAGGACTCATTAAGGAAAACAAGCTTTCAGAGGCCTGCAGGGTTTGGGATCAGATGATGGAAAAAGGTTTTACACTTGACAGACATCTCTCCGAGATTCTAGTCAATGCCATTCAGTCAAGAGATGGCACATGAGCATTGTGTTAGTTTGCTTTGCAATCCTTGCAACTTCATCACGCCCTTCTTTCAAATGGCAGAGCAACTTAAATGTTTCTCTCTCGACATACTACATGAAAGTGTAACAAACCGATGAAGTTACTTTGTTTTTTGCAGGCAGTAACACCTGCATATCAGTATAACCATTTGCTTGCTGCTCATGGTGAAATCTCACAGCTTTGCATGGTAATAAGACACTATTAGTTCCCTGGCCAGCTTATGGTAGAGAATCCATAACAACAACAGCCCTACAATGGTTTCTAGTTGCTAATGAGTTAGTATCCAAATTTTGTTACATATTACCGACAGACTTTTAGCTGGCGGATTGTATTTGTCAATACAATATACTCATTATATTCTTTGGCCATTTTTTTTATACACGGGAGCTGTTGATCTGAATCTTACCCACAGCACAATTGATGTTGGTAATTAATGATTTGTGGTTGAAATAAGTCCATGTGCCTATATAAATTAAGCTGGTGTTTCTTTGTAGCAAGAGTGGTTCTGAATACTGTGACTCTGCTAGTTCATGAAATCCTTTGAGTGGCAGCTCAATTCAGATTGACTAAATTCCAGGCTTATGTTGTAGACACTTCGATGATGATAATTTTGTGATTTTATGGTTTTATACGATTAATTTGAGTATAGCGTCCTTCTTGGAATAACAAGCTCATACCATCTGTGAATTGATGTGCTGCAGAGCATAAGTTTGAACAGAAGTTTTATTTCACCGGGACAAAGCTCATACCATCTGTGAATTGATGTGCTGCCAAGCATAAGTTCGAACCACAGATATAAACATTCCTTGTAAACTTCATCTTGTGGGCTACATTCATGGTTTCATACCTCAAGTATTATGGAACCCAGACTGGCGGCTTACTGTTTGTGTTTATCTAGGTTCAACAGATAATTACAAAAGTTAAAGATCTACAGGGTAGCCTTGTTAGGTTTCAAAGTTCAAATCTATTACATTCTGTGGAAAAACTGTGTTGCTGGCACAAGATCCACAGTTTTTTTAATTAGAATAGAAAGAATGTGTATTTGTTGGACTATACTGTCATAAAATCCAACTTATCTGACCTATATTAGGATTATTTTTGGTGAATGCTTCTGTCTCTATCTTCAGTACAGAACTTCAAGCTTCTCTAACGAAATGTTACCCTAATCATTCATTGCTTCAAACATATGTTTCTCCTTTATTTCAGCTCATTCTTTTATTATTGAAAAATAATTTTCAATATGCTTTCTCATTCTTTTATTATTGAAAAATGATTTTCAATATGCTTTTGTTGATTTTTGCATATCTTTGAGGGAAAAAAAGAGTTCTTACTTGTTTACTTATATATCACAGTCATACATTATTAGTACACTACTAAACCCTTTCTCATACATACTGGTGTATAATGTTGTAAATGTATTTTCTGCCATCACATTCTACTCTAGACAATGTTACCCCTTGGACAGGAGTGGCCAAAGCTCAAAACAAGCGTAATAAGCCAATCAGCGGATTGATTTGATTGAAAAGAGGAAGAAGTAGAAAGAAGGAAAGGAGGGGACTTGAAAAATTCAGGTGAAGAACATAAATTTTGATTCTTAATTATTGACATTCTGTGTTACTGGGGACTGGGGTTTACTCTTTTCATTAATTATCTATCAGTATTCTATCTAATTAAAACCTTATACTTTCATAATCAATAGTTCTAGGTGCAAGTTTTTATATAGAAATTTTGAATAGCTTTCCATCTGTTTTGAACTGTGTTACCTATCTTATTGCTATAGGAGAAAAATGATATTTTACCCTGAATCAAGTTTTGATTTTTGAGTTGGCTGTCTACTTGATTTCTTTGAGTATTTCAAAGTGATCTGCTAATAATTCTATGACGCCATGTTGGAGAACTGTTGAATAGATAGAAAATGGAGAACAGTAATTTTTGAACCATTGGTGTTGGATGTTGTACCACCTGCCACTGCAATTGGGACTGTGGGGATTGCTTAACTATATAAGCAAGCTGTTCTTGGAGAATATAGTAAAATTGAAGTTGAAGACAAGAAAAGAAGAATCTGGCTTTAGCTTCTCTTTTTGACTTGTATATCTGTTTCTATTCAGATTTTGATTTATTTATTGCCAATCACAATGATTTCTTTTTGATTGAACAGATTTTCGCCCAAAAACTCGATCAGTTCCTCTGGCCTATCGAGTGCTTTTAACTTTTCAAGGTTCTTGAACTTGCAATTCGTAGGTTTTGTGGTCCATGTACTTTGGATCAAAGTAGAAGGAAGGTATCTTGTGCATTTGGTATTATTTGAATGTAAATTGATTGTTTAATAGAAAGGGTACATATGAATAGGACTCTGACAATTATGACATCTATTAGTCCAAAATCCATTCCACTTCCAAATTCATACAAAGTTTTGTTCTCTATTGTTGACATAGATTCCTATTATATATAATGAAAAGTGATAAGATACATTATCACTTCATGATTGAAATAGAAACTTGTGGCCCCACATACTTGGCTAATGTTTGATTCTTTGCCTGTACATGAATCATCCTTGAAGTTCTCATGAAGTCATTCTCATTCTTTTAATGCCTATTAATTTTTGTTTTGGTTTTGATTTGTTCTGGTTTACATATCTTAATAACATTTTCATAGTATTAGCCTCTTGTTTCTCTTCATTGTACATTTTCCACAGCAACCATGTCTCGTCGAGAAACCAACCCTCACTTTTCTAGACCAGTGCGACCCCAGAATGCAGATCAGAAGCAGCCAAATATTCCAACAGTGCCTCACCAACACTACCGAGGCCAACCACCTATTCCTGTAGCAGCGCCTATACACGATGTATCTCAGCATCCCCAACCTCATTTTCCATTGCCACACCATTCTGAAGATCATGTTCCATTACGTGGAGATCATGATAGTCGTTTTCCATTGTCACACCACCCTGAAGATCACGTTCCACTGCGCACAGATCATGATAGTCGTTTTCCACATCCCCTTGAGCAAGAAGGTCATCATCAACCACCTAGTTTACAAAATCCACGAAGGGGGGGAAACCGCACCAGCCAACCACCGCGGGGAGGCTCGCGCAAAAAGCAACGAGATCAGGATCTTCGGCCAAGTAAGTCAAGGGTAAATTTTCAAGAGCCATCAGTCATACCACCACCACCGCTTGACCATCCTCCCGAGCCTCGGCGGCAGCTAGCACCACGCCAGGATCGGCGTCATGGTATAAGGCTTCCTAAAGAACAAAAATCACCACCTTTAACTTGGTTGGGTGCTTGCTTGTGTGTAATCTTTTGGCTTATCATAATCATAGGAGGCTTAATAGTACTCATAGTGTACTTGGTTTTTCGTCCACAAATTCCTCATTTTGATGTGTCTAGTGTCACACTAAATGCTGCATACCTTGATGTTGGTTATCTACTCAATGCTGATTTAACTATGCTGACAAATTTCACAAATCCAAACAAGAAAGTACATGTGGATTTCAGCTCAGTGAACATTTATTTGTACTATGGAAGTACCCTTATTGCTACTCAATATGTTGAGCCTTTCTCAGCTGCAAGGGTTCAGTCAAGATTTGCATATATACATATGGTAACAAGTCAAGTTCAGCTGCCATTAAATGAGGGACAGAGGCTTGTAAAACAAATGGAAAGCAATGGTGTTTTGCTTGAAGTGAGGGGAGTTTTCAGAGCAAGATCAAAACTAGGAACCATTTTAAGGTATTCATATAACCTTTATAGCCGTTGCAGTATCATGGTGGCACGCCCTCCAGAAGGGATATTGATAAGAAAGAAGTGCAGAACGAAACGATGATTTGGCAACACAAATGCTGTATAATTGGAATTCTTTTTTGTCCTTGAAAATTTGGGGGGTTTTGGTTTTACCATTTTGCCTATTCCTCCTGTAAAGAACATCTTTATTATCTTTATTAAGGGGTTAACATTTATGTTTTAATTTATGAACACGTAGTTTTCCTTTAAACTACAAATTTGTATCTCAATTTTTTATGCACAAATAATCAGAGGTTATCACATTTATTCATCCTGATAGCTGTTTCTTCATTAAAAAAAAAAACTTAAGATGCTGTTAATTTAAGTATTGAAGCCGCATCAATAAATCCAACGTTGATCTATAGGCAGATCGTGTGGCTAGGAAAGAAAGTGTAGGCTTAGTTTCATAGGCTGTGTTGCACTAGATATTAGTAGCTTAGTGCATCACGACATATGAGCAAGTTTCCATTTTTTTTAGGTTCCTAACAAAAAGACATGTTATGTTTAGACCCGTTTCACAAAAGTTCGAAAATAATAGAACGGAGTGGGGCGGACATAGTTGAAAGTGCAACCTAAAAGTTTGACCCGCTAAAAGTTTGACCCACATTTTATGTTAACGCACACAAAAAATAATGCCAAAATAAAATTTGAATTTTTTGATAACACCATTCAAATGCCAACTAATCTGTTTATCCTTATGTTTGTGGTTGGAATTGTTGTAACACGCTCATTCATTTCTGGATTATGAATTCATCTGACACCTCAATAGCTCAATCCGCCGTGTTCATGGAAAATATTGCAGATATATGGTTCAATTTGAAGGAGTATTTCTCTCGGGATGATTTGGGTCGCGTGCCTGTGCTTTAACATGCGATCTATGCTCTTAAGCAAGATTCATGACGGGTGACTGAATTCTAGTCTAACTCAAAATTTTTTGGGAGTAATTAGAGATTTATATGACTCTATTGAGGTTGTTAAATCTCACATTCTGCTGACCAATCGTTTCCCCTATCAAAAAAAAATTCTCTATGATTCTTTAACATGAAAGGAAATCTCCCATTGCTGTTTCTGATGATTCCAAAGCTCTCATTAAATGCTTTCGATTTCAAACGTTTTAAATCCAAAACTGGAAAAATATTGTATTGGCCCTGGTTTCAAACCTCGTTTTTTCACTTATTACAACCACTGGCCACACAAT